ATCGCATGTCGTTTGTACAAGCAGTCACTAGCGCCGTTTCCGCTAACAGAATGGCTGGCTCTATAGAGAAGTACTCTGGAGGGCGAATCGTTAACAGCTTAAGGGTGACGTGGTGGGGTCAATCCATGGGGCTTCTTTCTGTGGCATCAGTAGAGTACAGGTGACTCATTAGACAGCCTTTTCGTTATACGCGTTTTCACACAGCGGGAAACATCATGTGCTGTCTGCAGACACGGTGAACGCTGCTGCGCATGTCCACTGAGTTGCGTGCGCACATTCCCTGACTCGTCCCGTCATACTGACACGGCCATGCTGCCATTCATGCGTTTCCAACATACAGGAAGGAGGCGACCTCCACGTCTAACGAGAGCCACCTGTACCAGTCCTTACGTCGCAACTACAAGAGCCCTCTGAAGGAACAGTTCTCAACTCACCTGAGCCACCTTCTCGCCCATGTTCGGCGTGTGGAGAGCTCCTTGGAAGAATTTGGCCGAACCATTGTCTTGTATTGAGAACTGGAAGAAACAGACAGACTGTATTGTAGGCGGTCAGGCTCACTATTCTACCTGTTCTGGTTATCCCTTTAAAGCACAGTGGTCACCATGCTTACCACCTGCTTTAAAATGAAGAAAACCCTCGCCCACTAAGTGTACTTAAGGATACAGTCTCAACGTCAGTTTCACTTTCCCAGGGAAGTGAGCCTCTAGTGCCAATCAGATGGGCTACACAAGCCTCCCAGCCGGTCTGTACAGTGGAGACAATTTGCATGCTCCTGACAGGAATCAAACTCCGATACTCGGTCGTCCACTAGTCACTATACTGACTAAATTAAGCAATATTCTTGTGACAATAAAGTTTTGATTCTTTTTAACTTGGCATCAAAATTTCTCCAAAGTTTTTCCATTTCATTGCTTGTTGTTCAGTGACCTTGCTTTCTGCCGGTGTGCTGTGTTCGCGAAGGGAGCACGACTGCAACTTCCAGGGCCTTCTGTTGGCCTACCTTGTGCCTGAGGCTGTCGGACGCCACGTTGCTAAGCGACGGCGACTTCCTCTCCCGGCTGCTTCGGTCCCAAACGCCACGGTAGTGCTGCAGGTCTGATTCTGATGACGTATTCGGGAACGACTTCGCGACATGGTTCCGGGTTGCTGCAACAATGCATAGGGCGTAAGTCCCTTCAGTATCTGTCCCTGGGTGTGCCCCTTTTGACAACTACTGAACCAACTGAAAGACTTTCACGAAATTTAGTATTGTGACATGTAAACCCACTGCCAAGTAACAGCTGCATAAACAGGCGAAAGTACAACATCCGCTGCTAGGGAGCAGCTCTGTGGACAAGTTTCCTTGGCAATGATAGAACACTTAATAATGGAAAATATGTTTTCAGTGCGGTCCGTGCCAGGGCTATATAACGAGAAGTAGTTCAGTTGTGGTTGAATCAATGGAGAGTTGCAGTTATGAGAAGTGAGAAGCTGGTAGCTGAGGCCGGGGACAGTTCGGGAACCCAGAGGTAGGGGAACGTCCGCCATTGAAAGCCGCTACCGCAACGGCTAGTGAAGACTGAGAACTTTACGTATGCTGTAGTTATAGTCACCTTTGGAGTGCGTAACTCAGTGAGACTGTTGCAGCTATTTGCAGCTACGTCCTGTAAGAGTTCAGTAAATCCGATTAACATTGACACAGGAGACCTTCGAAAAGGTGACGAAGCAATGCGGTAGCCGTGCGAACTTCTGTGGGCGGAACAAAACTAGTACCAGTTCGGGTCCGGAAACTGAATATTGGAATTTGCGCAGATTTTGCTGCCAGCCCTAATTCTCTTTTCTGCTGAATTTCTCGTGAAATTTCTCGTGGGCATGCAGACGTATGATAAACATAACCAAACAACAAGGAGCTGATAGTTTCTCAGCTACCTAAGAAATTCAGTCTGAAAGAATCCACGGGTTCATTACTGTGTTGACAGAAGCCTGCCATCAGTCGTTATCCTGAGTCACATTAATCCAGTCCAAACCATCCACCTTAATATCATCATTCCCTCTATGTCTAGATCATACAGATGGTTTCTTCCCTCCAAATCTTCGACGATAATGTTCAGACAGTGGTATGTGTGGGCGAGATCATTTCAAGCAGAACAAAGACCCTGGTCCTATGTGATTTTTTAACCCGATCATGGAGACAGCAAGTTTTGCCGAGACCTAATAAATTGCACGTCATCACATACAAAAGATGATGGCCATCATCTGATTTGCCTATTTACGGTGTCAGGAGCACTGAACAGGGCGTGGTGGGGACCGGCCATGGCCGAACTTGAGGTACTGCCCTAGTGTCTACATGAAGGGCTAGAGGTAACTGCTGGGCGGCCGATTGCAGTCCTGAACCTCGGGTACACAGAGCAGGAATGCGTCTGTCCCACAGCAATGGTTCAGCTGAGTCTCTCGTGCAGGGTGAAGTGCAAAGCAATAAGCTGAAGTGAGTACAGAAAGCGAAGTGCTGCGCCCTGGAGGCGACGTCTAGTGCTCTGCGTGACTCCAACCTCTGGTGCGGAGTTAGCACACTGATCTAGCCATCTGATGCTAGCAAGCTGTGCTATTGCTACCGCGTTGTTCAGTTACCTTTGCAAAAGTTATCTACCGTATGGGAGCGAAGGGCCGTGGCTTCGATACTCGCCTCCAGAGCTGTGGGCGAAAACACAACATATCAGCTGCAAGAAAGGGGTTGCCAATGGGATGACGTCATTGTTCCCATGCCAGTGCACTGATTATTGTTGCCATATTCGGTTGGATTGCAACTCTGCGTTGCATGACAACATGATACTGTTTCTTCCTGATGTTGCGGTCTTTGGAATGAAATTAAGAGTTTCTAGAAAGAAATTAGTACTGCCAATTCAATTACAGCAGAGACTTCAATACTGCAATGTTGAAGCAACTGATCACTGAACTAGGAAACATCAATTGTTCCTTGGTTAACTGAGAATTTGTGATATATATCAACTGAATTTGCAAATAAAATCGAAAGACAGTACACATTTTCTTCAGGATTAGTGGGTTTCTGGATCTTGTACATCTTCTGATATTCTTACAAACATGACGTTTCGGAAACTGGATCTGCCTCCATTCACAGATGAAGGGGCAGAAGACACGTACTGTGCTGGGTCCATTAGAAAAAATTAACCTCATTCACTGGACCTGGCTCTTTCTAACGGGACCAACAGAGGAGATGCCTCTCAACCCCTCACCTGAAGACGGAAACGGGTCCAGTTGCCGAAACTGTGTTCTTTCGTACTACCGGACGATGGCCAGCGTCCAGAAACCCCAGATCTGCGTATCATACACCATCGTCAGAAGCCGTCGGAATGCATACGCTTTCTTGCTCACAGTGTCATTCAGTCAGCACCTGTGACTTCTCGTGTTCTTGTGTTTCACAATAATAACTCGCCTCGGGGTCAGATTTGACAACAAGAACAAATCAGATGAATTCAAATGTCATTCAATGACGTCATCCCATTGTTTGGTGTAGCGAGCATATTAACAACAAACGTGAACACACAATTCTGCTGTTTGCTTGTTGCTAACTTGTCCTACTCCTTCCTGTGTAGGCACAGAAATTATACAGCACCTTCAGGCAAGTTTGCCATGGTTTTAGACCTACACTCTGGCCTGCAATTACGGAGACGTATGGCACGTAGCGGAGCTGTGGTTGCTGCTGCACTGTTAACTAAGGCCCTGTTAAAACCAATAGTCTCTCTACAGCTCATGTCTTGGTGGACTTCACCAAATCCACTGAGCACATGTAATATATATATATGAGACACAGGGCATAACGTTAGGGTTGATATGAGGGCGCGCCATAGCTCAAGCGGTTAGTCGCTGGCTTCCCACCGCGGCGGCCCGGGTTCGATCCCGGGTCTGGTCAAGTGGGATTTGTGGTGGATAAAGTGGCGCTGGGGCAGGTTTTCTCCGAGTACTTCGGTTTCCCCTGCCAATCTTCATTCCACCAATTGCTCCACAATCACCCTCACCTATCATCTGGGGCTGGTACAATAGGCCAGAAGTGGCCGCAGTACAAGAGACTTAGTCCCACCCCACTAGCAAAAAAAAAAAATAAGGTTGATATGAACTGCAAGCTCGTGTCCAGTTGGTCCTGACAGAGGATCGAACCAGAGTGGGATCTGCAGTAAGACAGACAGACATACCCGAAATAGAATCTTGTGCGCAAAATAAGTTTAATGGAATCAGTACAGCAAGCCCTCGCTAATCCGGAACGAAATATGAAAAATGAAGAATTCTGTTCACAGTTGAGTACATAGTTTAAGACGTGAAATTTACGAGCAAGGCGGCTTGAGTACAGGAGCAAGGGGGATTGGAGCGAGAGGACTTTCAGGCTGTGTTTAGGGCAGCTGGAGAGACTGAAACCGCGCAAGGCGGCTTGAGTACAGGAGCAAGGGGGAGTGGAGCGAGAGGACTTTCAGGCTGTGTTTAGGGCAGCTGGAGAGACTGAAACCGCGCAAGGCGGCTTGAGTACAGGAGCAAGGGGGAGTGGAGCGAGAGGACTTTCAGGCTGTGTTGAGGGCAGCTGGAGAGACTGAAACCGCGCAAGGCGGCTTGAGTACAGGAGCAAGGGGGAGTGGAGCGAGAGGACTTTCAGGCTGCGCTAAGGGCAGCTGGAGTGGCATGAAGCTGACCACTCTATACATCCACTCCCCCATACGCCTTGATGCTGTAGTGCTTAATTAATCAAGCACAGGGACAACTTCACCTTACCTCTTATTAGATGGTAGGGTGACTGACAGAACTGGAAAGGATCTGGAAGGAAGAGGTTGTGGCCCGACTTTCCTGGACGGAGTGAAGGAAATTACGGAAAACCAAGGCCCTCCCGACCACCACCCAACTTTGTTGTCAGGGTCACTAGGGGACAGACAATTGCGAGGGACGCAGACGGGCACATCCCAGAATTCCTGGTTACTTGTGTTTTCTTCTTAAGGTTTACTGAGGAAAACCATGAAAACTCCGGTCAAGGCAGTGAGTTTCCGGGCCAAGATTTGAAAATGGGATCTCGAAAATACGACGCAGGATTACCACCCACTTGACTGTGACGTTCGGTGCCGGCTTCAACCGAGTACTGGCTGGCCGACCGAGGAATCAAGGTTTGATTCTCACAGACAGGACAGACTTCTCTTCTCTCCACAGAATCCAGACCGATCCTGAGGCCCCACCCAGCCACCTATCCAAAAGGTGAGGGGTTCTTTCCCTATTCAATAGTAACCACTCACCTCCATCTAATTCCGAGGTTAGGAATGTGAGGAGCTGCACCCCCACTCCCCATATGCCTTCAAGGCACAGTGTATAGGGACAATCTGTACCGCCGTGTCCCTTCAGAATTCTGGAGTACATCAAGATGAGACGCACGATACTTACACACGCTGACCGTTGCACTCCTGCTAGGCACCTTGTGGGTCGCGGACCCCACGTCAGGCACAAGAGTCCTCCGCGTGATGGTGTCCAGTGACGTAGCATGAGGGACGGGCCTGGAGGCAGGGGTCTCCTCCATCTCCCACAGATTGCTGCTTCGCTGTGACACCTGCATCGACAAAAACACTCTGGCTGACGTCACACCCTGAAGATGTAGGCAGCACGCTCAGGTGGGCTGAGGGTGTTTGAGAACACGGTTTACACTCCTCGCCAAGACTCATTAGGGTGACGAGATGACGGGGATGAGATGGGCGAGGCCCGCAGCACGCATCAGTGAGATGACAAATTCATACAAAATTGTAGCTGGAAGAAGCGAAAGGGAAGAATCGACACGTAAGGCCTTGTCACGGATGGGAGGTTTAGAAGCCGTGGACAGGATTCAACTGGCTCAGCACGGGGTCCATTCGTGGGCTCTGACAGCTTCTGAGAAGTACACTGATTCATTAATCAGCAAACAGAGCAGAAAGACAGACATGAGTCCAGTATATAATCACGAGCTACGAATAAATCTGGATGGATGAGCGGGGAATGTAGCATGCATGCCTTGATACCACATACAATGCCATCTCGGCAATCCGAACTAATTTAAAGCGCTGGTGTGGCAGGACTATCCGATTATCCAACTATTCGAAATACAGAAGTCCAATAATTACGTGATTGCTATATTTCGAGTAGAAAAATATAATTACAAATATACTTCAAACATTTATACGTATATCCAGATACAAAGACAGACGGTGGGCCGTGGCAAGCCGCAACCCGCGTTACCTCTCTCACCACCCACAGAGGCAGGTCCATTAGAAGTACTCACTGTCTTCTGGGATACAACGCCGTGTAGTCCCTCGAAAGTCAACCGACTTTTTGGAGGAATATATCGCCTCCATCTTCAGGGTAGAATAAGCCGAGCAAGTTACCAGGGTAAAAGCAGGTGGAGAGCAGAGTAATCGGCTGGCTGGAAATTTCGGATTACACAGGAAGCCGGAGGAAAATGTAAGAGTGGACCTCAGTCCTCATTGGCTTGCTGTTGGCCACAGTGAAGCCGCTGCGCTCTCATACAGCCTCCGAGTGGGCCCTGAAAAGTGGCGGGTTTGCTGGTCTAGGAAAAGTGTAAGGGAGAGAGGTCAAGTGCTCAGCTTATTCGACTCTGAAGATGGAAGCGATATATTTTTCCGAAACGTCGGCTGACTTTCAAACGGACTACACGGCGTTATATCCTAGAAGATAATCAGGGCTGTGAGCACCTGAAATGCTGCACATAATGTCACGTTCACTTCTACTGCAAGTTTACATGACGTCTCTGGTGGTAGCCTCACTCAGTTCGGGCTACCAACTGCTGACGCCTCACAATATGGCCTATGCCTGCAGAACAGTGCATCTGAACTCACAACTTCCGGGGACGCGATGGGTGCTGGGGGCGAGGTAGACACCTGGTTATTGTTCTCGGCGTCGCGGAGTGACACTCGGGTGTCCGGTGATCCTGTTTGTAGGCGGGACCTCATGAAGATGCTCCTCTTTCGTTCTGCCGAGGGCTGCGCCCCCAGTAGCCTACAACACCAACAATGGCGCGTTACTAGGTAACGATCTTCGTCAGGGGCTCCAAGTAACTGCTGCTAATTGTGAGATTCCTAAGATATACATAAATACACTGCGTGGGGAAAATTCAGAGTTATTTATGTTGAAGGAACTGGTGCTTCAAAGGGCGAACAAGTAGAGCCACTTTACCTACCGCTGCTCCACTTTCCGATCAACGTCCTCTTCGGCCTCTTCAGTAGTGACGTCACTGGGCGGCGTGAGGTAGCCCGTCAGGCGCAGGCTGCGGGCCCGAAAGGAGCCCATCTTCAAGGACTGCCGGAAGGACTGCCTCGCCCGATCAACTGCACAAGATGTAGGGTTTGAGGCTTATCTTCTGGGATACAACGCCGAGTAGGCAGCTTAAAGTCAACCGGCGTTTCCTAGGAACATATCGCCTCCATCTTCAGGGTCGAATAAACCGAAGTCTCTCCCTTACACTTCAATTCCCTGCCCAACACACCCTTACATTTTTCCTAGACCAGCAAAACCCCACAAACTCGTGTTCTTGTCTCCTATTTGTGCGCTCGGTGGTCGTGTGAGGGCCCAGTATTTTCACTCCGTCCCACGGCGAACCAATGGGAACTGAGGTCCACTTTTCCGTTCCCCCTCCCTTGTCCCTCCGGCTTTGATAATCCGAAATTTCCGGCCAGCTGCTTTCATGCTGGTATCTTGCTCGGCTTATTCGATCCTGGAGATGGAGGAAATATGTACCTCCGAAACGTCGGTTGACTTCCAACGGTCTACATGGCGTTACATCATAGAACATAGTACTCTTCAAGTCCATAGATGATTCGGTGCAACCGCGGCCGGAAGAGTAAGTCTGCGTCAGCTTGTTCCACGCGAAGTGGGGCAGTCTGCAGACTGAACGCACTTCGCAAAGGAATTCATTTATAGTCTTATTCCAGATCCACTTCAGAATGAACTTCGGGGGTCAGACGCAATGCCCGCTCGCTAGTCCGTCGGTCCGTCGGAAGGAATCTCCCAACTCAGGGCAACACAAATGCGAAATAACCAAGAATATACATCCTTGCTTCGAGTGGGATTCGAACCCATGAAGTAATCTTCAAGCCACAGAATCCACGCGGTCACTGTAATGGGCTTAACTTCTCCTTTATATGGACTTCTGTTCAGGTGTACCAACTATGAACAGGTTACACTCGTGGCCGTGCTACCAACCTGTGACATCACTAACCACTCTCACGTCCGTCTGTCACTAATAACTACATATACTTACGCTTGCTGAGCTTGTGGTTGGCCTCCACGCCTTCCTCCGCTGGGGCGGGTGGCACTGTCAGGTCCTCAAAGTTGATGATGTACAGACAGATGTCATCCACCTCGCTCTTGATGGGCGCGATCACCTCGCTGCAGAGGAACTTGGTACCTTTGCAAGGATAACATTAAGATGTATCAGAGTTTCAGGGCAGGAAACTGTAAGCCGCACTTCTGACGCTCAACGCGCTGTGTAGACCTGAATTTGCCTCACACGCCCTGCCGTCTATGAGCAACGTCAGTTAAGAACTCTGTACATTTGCTTCTTGTGTTTGTTGTTTGCGACTTGGTTAAGTTACGTACTTGTTGTTGCTGTTTTTGTGCATTTCTTCCATTTCTTTCTGTAAATTCTTAATTTGTTGACTGCTTTTGTTGGTACATATGTTCGTTTTGATATGTCTGTGTGCTACAGTTCTGTGTTGAGTTGCTGACTCTTCCCGCATACACGTTTTGTTTCACTTTTTGCCTTACGGTTGGTCCTTGTATTTTGGTGTTTCTGGCTGCTACTGTAAAGTGCATACAGTTTGGAGTTATGCTCACTTTAAGGCCTGTTCTACTGACTCTTCTATTTGCATTGGAGTGTAGCTGTTTCCTTTTACAGTTTAAATATTTATAAATTTCATGACATTAAACTACAGCACCCTGTTGCACAGCGAAGCTGCGAGTAGGCAACCCGGCAGACATCGGGCTCTCCAGTAAGGGCACTTCCGTCACGTCTCTTTCTTCTGGGCTACTGCAAGACGTTTTCAGTGTCGAGACGGTACAGTAACTGCTCAACTGGAAAGGATTTGAAAGGAATCGGTCCTAACCTAAACGTGCTACCGCCTGAAGGAACCGAGGAAAACCACGAAAAGCGTCAGTCCGGATAGCCGAGAATCGAACCGAGGACCACTAAACCGACCGGTTCGGTTCCTCCATTCGTACGTTGAGAATAGAATCTAGTAACTTCCTAATGACGACACAGCGAACTACGTCATTGTTTGATGACGAGGCATGCAACTTCGGGGATGATTTAGACGAACAATAATCATGGTTGAATTGTTGAAAAGTGGGAAATATTCAAACGTGAAGGCAGGCCTACGTTGCTGTCAAACAACAATCGTACTGGAATCAGAAGAGAGTCGCTATCCCGTCTCTAGTGTTCAAGACGTTTCTTTCGTAACTGGGGGCGCTTTCTCAACAGTGGTCGAGCAATATATTCACTCCCCTATACTCCTTCATGGCACATTGCTTAATTAATTAGGTACAGGGACAATTTTGTCTTTTACCTTTACTTTCACCGTTACAAAGATTAAGGTTGGGCCCTGCTATAACTCAGGCGGTTAGTCGCCGGATTCCCACCCCGGCCGGCCCGGGTTCTGTCCAGGTCAGGTCATGTGGAATTTGTGGTGGACAGGGTGGCACTGTGGCAGGTTTTCTCCGAGTACTTCGGTTTCCCTTGCCAATTCTCATTCCACCGACTGCTCCATACTCAATAACATCTACCATCCGGGGCTGCTACAAGAGGCCAGCAGTGGCCGAAGTACCAAGTGGACTCAGTCTCATCCCACCCCACGAAACTACACAAGGCGTACACCCTGTCACGAATAGCTTGCTCTGTGCACTTGTCTGAGGGGTGATGGGTTATACTGACTGAAAATATTCGCTGTTTTCCTCGTTACCTCGCGGCACCGCTTCCTTCCATATCCATTCCAACTCATTATTCACTTACCGCCCTACCATTCGACGCTACACAGTCTGACCTGAAAGCGTCGTTACATGAACCACAAACGAATCAACTACATCTTGCACAATACCCATACGTGGAGAACATCAATACATCTGAGGTACGCGGTACTCCCCCAATCTCGGTCTGGGCCGCTTGTAATAACAGCTTCAGCCATCTGGCGGCCTTTCCCTGAAGTACATGGAAACCAAACTTGCGCAAGACAGGCTTATGTTCCTGTCTGCATGTGTCTTGTTCGGGGAACCCTGGACCTCACAAACAGCAAAGCTCCTTCATAATTTGTATTCTCCTTTTAAAACTTTAAAGCACACCGGTAAAGCGCCGGGTAGTGCAGTCGGTATAGCGACTGCCTACGGGATGAACAACCGAGGGGTCGGATTTCGAGTCCCGGTGGGGCCAAGAATTTCACTTCTCAATTTCGTCAAGACCGGCTCTGAGGCCCACCAAGCCTCCCAGCCAATGGGTTCCGGGGGCTCTTTTCAGGAGGATAAAGGGGCCAAGGAGTAAGGCTGACCATTCACGTCCAACTAGTGCCAAGTTCAAGAAAACGCGGGTCTATACATCCACACCCCTAACGACTTCATGGCGTAGTGCTTAATTAGTTAAGCACAGGGACAACTTCACCTTTTTTACTTTAAAGTACAATGGTACTGCATATATCACATTTTAATATCTACGAACTCTGCACTTTGTGCACACGGTGTGTTTGTGTGTGTCGGAAGGTCGCGGGTACAATGCCCAATGAGGTCATTATATTTTTTCAATTTACCTAATCCTTCCAGCCGTACTACGGCCCTGGGATCGACTCAGCTTCTAACAGAAATGGGTACCAGGAATCTTCCTGGTGGTAAAGGGCGGCGGGAACCGCTATCTGTGAACCCACTGTCTACAGAAAATGTGGGAGCCTCGACGTCTCACAACCCTATGGGCCTCCATGGCCTGTTACGTGGACAGCTTCACCTTTACCTTATGATTCTCACGCAGGTCTCTGTCTTTGAAGTTTTCTCGTTGGTAGAAACTTAATGTTTAAATATTATTTAGACGAACGTCAGGGCTCCAAGGGTTTAGGGACGTAGCACATTACGGTGAAATTCCGCTGAGACCACATCCCGGGCGATGTGCGGGTACGACCTGACCCAACGAGACATGACGGGCCACTCAGTGGCACTAAGTGCGCGCTCGGGTCATTGCCCTGCGCGGTGACGTCACGTGCTCGAGGCTGGACCGCACAGAGAGCACACAGGCACGTGCTTACACCAACATGACGTCACGCGCGGGTCGATACAATCCTTCGGAACACTTACACAGGAACATTCAAGTCGCAACCAACCGCCTGCTTGATCCATTCCAGCCTGAAATAGAAAAAGTGGGGAGGGGGGAGTAGCGAGAGGCCCTGCACTGTAGAGGGGCCTCTAAGTAATACGTCTGCGATCAATTCCTATCTCAGAGAAAGAAACACACCGCGTCGGCATTACAAAGACGAACAGCATAACGCTGTTTTGAGAACTAATTGATGTATATTGTGGGAATCGTAAATAACACATATATACACCGTGTGCACAGAACGTAGGGTTTCCTAATATTGGCCACGTCACAGCTCGGCGGCTCGGGTTCGAGTCCGGGGTCTGATCCGGGGTCTGATCCGAGTACTTCGGTTTCCCCTGCCAATCTTCATTCCACCAACTGCTCCACAATCACCCTCATCTACCATCCAGGGCTGGTACAATAGGCCAGTAGTGGCCGCAGTACCAAGTGGACTCAGTCTCACCCCACTAAGAACAATAAAAAAGCAATAATTCTTAATGTTAAAGCTGGTGGCAAATAAAGTGGCCACTGCGAGAATGTGTTGCCTGGACACACAGAGGGACGGGAAAGGTAACCAATAGTAATACACCTTAGAGACAAATAGCCCCGACGACAGCCAGTGCTCATGAGGGCGCGGTGTTGTGACCTCTCAGGCAACAGCCATGATCGTGTAAGCCCGAGCGCTTTAATGACGTCACGACAAGGTAATGACGTCACTCGAGGTATAAGCGTGCGATCTATTTTTAGCAGCCAGGCCACGTTTTTTGGAGGGGGGGACAGATATAGAGCAGGAAGACCCGGCCTTGCCGCGAGTAAGAGCGACACAAGCAACAGTCATTAGGCCAATGCTGCAAGTGTTTACATCGAGCCTTGGCAGGGACAGGACTCGCCTTCCTCTGGGAACTCTCGCTGAAAGGGAAACCGATCAGTGCTGCCACTTCGCAGCCCAGCGTCCATGCAAATAACTCTTTTTAGAATTCAGATCTTCTCGCGAGATTCTACCCTGAGGATGGAGGCAGTACGCTGCTCGGAAAGCGGCGTCAAGGCGCCATATCCCTGACGACAGTACTGGGTGCTGTCACCACAGCGAGACCCTCATATATCTTCCACACAAACACGCCCATTCTTGTGGTGTCTTGGCCCTCTGAAATCGCAAGTTCAGCTAAACCGTATTAAGAAAAGTGCGTTTTCACTCAAAACACGAGCCGACTAATGCTACTTGGACAAACAACAGCTGTTCGTTGTGAGACTCACATGGAGCACAGGAATACACTGTGGGCAAAACGTTACGCAACCCCTGTGTTCTGAAGGGCAACTTTCACTTGCACCGACAGTACAAGACGTCAACATTGTTACATCACACTGAACAGTATGGCCTAGTAACGAAAATAATTCCATGAAGAGGAATCCTTCTTGAGAAGCTAACGGTTGTTCAGCTAGTCAAGGAATTCCCTGCATTTTAGAGAACAACAATACGCAAGAGACCGCCATATAACCAAGTCTACAATCATGTATCGTACTTAGACCCTTCTTAATATTATCCTCGAATTTACGCTTAGTCTTCAACATGGTCTACTATCTATAAATAAAACAGTCTATACATTTTATGTGTGTATGCGTGCGTGCGTACATGCAACGACTTACAGTTCTATCCCTCGCTTGGTCACTAAATTGCAACACAGAGAGCACTATCTTGTGCACCGTGACGCCGTATACTCCTGTAATAGTTCACTGAGAGGTTTCGGAGGAACTTACTGCCTCCAACTTCACGGTCCCAGACAGGCCCATGGAATCAAGCAGCAAGTGGAGCGAGCCGCGTGCGGAAGTTAGGGTTCAGATGCAAGCAGGAGATTGATCCGAAACGTCGGTGAACTTCTCTCTCACTATATGGAGCGCCACCCACTCCAGATGGCACTGGTCACGGCGAGCGCTGTGAAGACCTCACCTGGGGACTATGTCCCTTCCCTCTCGCGCCGGCAAACCGACGGTACGGTTATGGTGCTGTGAGGTCGGCCATCTGACATCTTCAGCAGAGACCGTTCTTTTATTGATCACATTTGTAAGCTATCCCTGTAACCGGCCGTGGAGGCCCATAGGGTTGTGAGACATCGAGGCTCCCACATCTCCTATACAGTCGGCTCACAGATGGCGGTGAGGCCGTCAGCCTTACGCGCCGGCAGCCATTTATCCCCCAGGAAGATTCCTGGTGCTCATTTCTGCTAGAGAGTGAGTTGAGCCCAGGGCCATAGTGCGGCTGGAGGGATTAAGTAAATTAAAAAATCCAATGGCCTCATCGAACCCGCGACCCTTCGGCTTGTAGCATAGTGCCCCCATACAAAGAAGCCTGTACAGGTATATACAGAGCACCGTATGCTTCTGGGCTATGTCTCCGCGGATTCCTCGGAAGGCCGCAGTGACGTCAGCAAGGGACGCCCGCGCTGTCCCACTCTCTTCACGGGGTCGCTGTGGTTCCAGTATCCGACATGGACGGACATGCTCCATTATGTTGGACAGTGTCCATTTGGGGGGGGGGATGAATTTGGCACAAAGGCCACCGAACAAGTTTAAATCACTTTCAGAAGGTGCCTGATTCGAATCTCGCCCGGCACATTGTCTATCGTGACTGCGGTTTTCGTGGTACTCCTGAGTTCCTTCGAGAACATTAAAGGAGACTACCTGCATTAAGCTGGGCAACATCCCATCATATTCTCTCAAATTCATCGTTCAATCGCATCACCAACTGCATGAGATCCCCCCCCCCGCCGCAGACGCCAGGCGTCGAGTTTCGGCTCACTGCACACCTCCCGTCATCTGTCAACTGTTTCGTTATTCATTCCACAAAGTTAGTTTTATAACATAAGGGAATGCAACTCGCGGCACGCGGGCCACATGCTGCCACCAGTTGTGCCCTGTGCCCCAAATCATCGGCCGAATCTCTGCCTGCTCCTTGTGCATGTGCTTGATACAGCCGGTTACCGCAGGGACTGTACACTGCAAACTCGAACTCCGAACAGAACCCGTTCCAGGAGCCGGGTCGACTTTCGGGTTACATTTCCCCATTTGAAATAATGTAAATTGAATTAATCCGTTCCAGACCCACAAAATTTACCCACTATAAAACATCTTAAGTGTCTATTTCAAAAGATCATATAAGTAAATAATAATATTCAATTCAAACAAATCAATGTTTTACTTATAATGTACATACGTACACAACTGCACACGGAGCAGGCAAGTTCGATAAGCCTGTGCCGCTTTCCCACTTTGGGATAAGTTCCTTAGCAATTTCTATCGCAGAAACTGCGGTTTATCTCTTAGGGTTTTCACCTCTAGTGCTGTTATGACTGGGTATTATTAAAAAGAACATAAAAATAACTTAAAGAAATAAATAAAACGCTTATAAAACAGACTGAATTTGCGAGATGCTCACTGAACCAGTCAAGGGAGAACTGGCCGAGCAACTGCTCGTGCGCTCAAGCAGAAAGAGAGAAGGCGACCACGTGATTCTTTGTTCGACTTTTGAGTTTTTGTTCGAGTTTCAAAACCGGATTTTCCACGAATTTCTTGTTAGACTTGCAACTTGTTCGAAGTTCGAAGGCCCACTGCATCTGTATCAGGATGCTGCAAATGTACCCCGCCAACAGGTGCCTAAGGCACAATGCGGCCCTTGCGTTTTGATGTTGGGCAGCTCTGCTTGAAGGTACTGTTAAATTATACAGCATGTTGAACTTATAAAGCAAGAATACTACATCATATACAGGGTGATAACATTAGGAACATGTGGCCTACCGTCTTTCCTATAGTAGAGAATTTCGAAGTGCTTCTCGCCGCCGACAGCCAGTGCCTCCTTGACCACGGAAATGGCATGCTGCGAGGTGAGGGGGCCGTGGAGGAACTCGCATACGGCGGATCGTTGCATGACCTCGGCACGACTGAAGCCCGAGAGACGGCAGAAACCGTCTGAGCAATAGATGATATGGCACAGGCCATGCTGAGCGTTGGCCACCAGGAAACTGCGATCTGCAACAGAGAATTCTCGGCCTGCAAAACTAGTCCGTTACAGTAACCAGCCTTGGCCTGCTGACATGGGAGTGTGGAGTCTCGGTTATACAGAACGAAAGTGGGATTCCCTGTCCTGTAGGACGCGCTCTTCACTCTCTGCGGCTAAAATTAACTGAGCCCTGTCGGTGATTTTCGAACCGTGTTCTCAGCTGGTGCGAGGTGGGCCGCAATTAACTTGGGCCAACAGCAATAAACACAAAAACTACACAAATTTATAAGAGGCATCAGCTGAGCCGCTCAGCTACTACTAATTTAGGCCTATATACCAACGTTATTCCCGTTGAAAAGTCAACGGAGTTTCTCGGCTAATGTCCAGTAACTATAAAATTCCACTGTCTGGTAGTGACGTTTCAATGCATGTTCAGCATCTAGGGAAAATCTTCTCGAATCTTCGTCGCTTATGTGTCTTCTTTCCATTTATTCTTTTCGTACCGTTATATCCTTCCCTCGTTCTCCGGTATTTCGTTCCTACGCCTTTTTTTTTTCGTCCTTTGGCCAGTACTCTCCTCCTTCCCTTCTCCCTCTCCTTTACGTAAAAACAGTGCCACGATACGTACTGCGTTATCAGTTTCCTCTGCGAGTCAAAGGAAGTACACAACAAACTCGCTCTTAAAGAGATTCATTGGTTCTTCAGGCGCCGACGTCAGTAGTTCTGGGTGCTTTGGGTCGAATGGCAACATCGCGACTTAAAAGGAATTGGAAGGAAGGGGGCGTGGCTTAAATTGGGATACTATCCTATATTTTGGCTAGAGGGACCGAGGAAAGCCACGAAGAACGTAGGTCAGGTCCCTGGGCCGAGATTCCAAACAGAAAGCTCACGAACACGAGACAGGAGCGCGGCCACTCGGACAGCTGAAAGCACTGGGCGCCAGCTGATCGCCGTCTCGCACTGGGGCTCTATGCAACTGGAGATGAGCACAGCAGGCACAACAAATGCACATCCCACGGCCCGGTGTGAGTGCTCGCCCCTTGCAGCTCCCTACAGACGGTCAGTGTCCATCAGTGTTCCCTGCCATGTGAATGTATGGAACTGACTGTCTGCCCATGTTACAAGAGGCTGTGGTCACATCTGATACTCCCCAAACAAGGTGAGTCACATATTCACCGACGATGAGCTGCAGTAAGCTCCGGAAATTAGATTACTACAATAATGTACCAAATTGGCGACATCTGAATTTGTAAACATTTATTTAGGCAAACTGGTTATTTGCAAAAAGGAACAAATAAGACCCACTAACTTAGTCACTCAAGAACCACCCAACATTGTATAAAACCCTAGGGTTCATTGGCGTGTTCACAACAGTCCTCCACTGCCTCCTATCTGGAGTTACGTGAATCAAACCACGTCTCCAGTTCTACATATAAATAAATGTTAACAATCTCGTCTCCTGGTCGTCTCGTTCATTCGCGCTTTTCTACAAATGTCTGCATGGGAACATAAATCCATTGGTTATACTGGTCGAAGAGATCCAACCGCTTGCGTGACCTACGCATATTAAAACTGGATGTCAGGGTGCGCAGTGGGCAACGTCTTCTGCCGTCTGTCAGCTCCTTTGCTTACTGTTTACCTCAGGACGCTGACACTACCTAAGGCTATACTGCGTCCAATGATGACTTGGAAAGGATGTGGAAGGAAACGGTCACTGACAAAGGTACTTTTCCTGACATTTGCCTGGGGGACTGAGGGAAACCACGAAATATTTCAGTCAGGACATCTAGTCACCGTTCCGAGATTTAAACCCCGGACCTTCCGAAAACAAAACAGGAGTGCTGATACCCACTGGATCTCGACGATCGGTGAACAGGGCAGGCAAAGATCTGGTGAGGATGGGGTTCGAATCGGATACCTTCGGAACGTGGGACAGACGCGGAGCGTCAGTGTGTTTAGCAGCTGGATGTGGCCGTTGGCTTCTGACATACAGCACATCATTGTGATGAGAGCCTCAACCTCAGCCTGATGTGTTAGCTACACACGCCAACAGGGAAGCTTATGCTCTAGCCAACAGGCCAATGCACTGCTCAGTCCGCAACAGCTGTGAATTACAAGTGACGTCACAATGGTATCACGTGTCATTCTAATTCATGCGGCGGATTTTTGTCAGGATTGCCAAAACAACAGACTTCCCCCTACAAATTAACGTGGAGCAAAAAAACCTTAACTACTCGCAGGAATATTAGTACCTCATGACGTCATCGGAATGGCTCTATGGGTAATTCGATGCGCGCGCCACTTCAGCAGGCGTGGCCGTTAAGAACAGTCCGCACCGGTCGGCACGCTAAGCCATTTGACAGAGAAACAAGTGAATAACTATGTACCATTGTTAGAAGTGGACATCTTCTTATGGCCTCAGGAAAGATCCGATCAGTTCCTTCTAAAAGTTTCGACGTGATACGGTGATATGAAGGTTGTCCTACCGTGGGTCATCAATATGTCCATTCTGATGCAAGAAGCTTCAACATTTACGAGTATGCAGGCCGTGTACCATTATTACAGTGAATCCGGCGAAGTGAAGAACTTTTGAACGAAACAAATAATGCGCACATAAATTTTGTTGGGAAACCTCTGAGCCACTTGAAAGACCGAAGATGTGATAATGTGCTGCTTGGTCGGGGCTGTGATAAATGGATACGAAGCAATGGTGGAATGATGATTAGCAGGGGGAAATGAAACGAAGTTGGAGCCCCGATACTCGCGTGAAGTAATGCGGGATTGAACCCGAGACTCCTCGGTCGAGCACAGCGATCTGCTGCTGCCGTTCCAGCGGGCTTCATGCCAGTCGACAGTAAACCCAGGTCTCAACAAATCCTGGCGCGGCCGTTTATTTTCCTGTTGAATCGAGGGCCAAATAAATCAGCACCCGTTTGTTTGATTATCACGGGAGCCGGCGCGCTGCGTCATGCGGGTTGCGCAGCGAGGGTACTCTGTTCCAACTGTTGTCGCACCGCTTCCTACCAAATCCTTTCCAATTCAACGATTCGACGCCGTGAACTGCAGTTGCCGACAGGCACTAAGAACGAGGACTTTCTGTGATGACGTCAGAAGCTACACTACAGATTAACGATGAATTGCAATGGATTTGGAAGTAAGTGCTCGTAGTATAATGAAAAAACTGTGCTGACATTTACTTGGAGGGACTGAAGAAGACCACGAAGAACCACAGACGAATGTTCCGGCCAACATTCCAACACAGCAGTTCGCGAATAACTGTCTATAACGTTGCCGCTACAGTAACTTGTTCAGCGACTCCATTTCGTCATATTCACCGTGGGGAGAGCCTCAGACCTCAGTTTGAGGCCAGTGCGGTGCTCGCGACGTGTACTGCCCGGGCCCCTGTCGGCGCTTCGGCATGTAACAAAGGATTTCGTGAAATTCTATATTTGGCAGGTTCACTCAAAGTTGCCGAGACAGTCCAGTCTTAATTGAAATCAGGTAACAACAAATAATTCCTTACCTGAAGGCCCACGCGCTTTTCTCCGCGCATCCGAGAGTAGCTCGCTAAATATTTATCGCAGCGAAAGTCGCAGAGATAAATGAAACACACTTTATGCTCTGTGCGCCCTTTCCGCAAGCCTCACGGTTGTCGAAATAATTAAACATATGTAAGCAAACACGCCAGAACTGTTACTTCATGCGCACATTTTAGAACCTATTTAAAGTGTCATTTAAACACAAAAAAAAAAGAACAGGAACTCGCCATCTTTGTCTCTGTTGCTTTGTGCCATGGAAGTAATGCTAGAACAAAAAAAAATACACCACATGGAACAACATTGCGAAAATGTTTCCCTTGCTTTTGAAGTTTATATTAACTTCTTAACTGTTTGAAAACATTCTCCACGCCAGCGGAAACCCGAGCCAATCCTCAGTTGCAACCTCAGAGCAAGTAAGAGAAGTCGGAGTCTGTGAGCTGACCAGGAGACGTCGCGAGACCGGACGAATTGTGCGTCATGTGCGTCATCGGTCGCTTGCTTGCCGTTCTGATGGGTAATAGCAAAAGTTGCTACATGCACTGTGAGCAGCCGCATGTCGTTCTGTCTCTTTCTATCAGTAACGGTCATCACCCGTCCAGATTTGGGGCGCTTATTCAACTGACGAACCGACCGACCGACCGGTAGACAGACAAACCAACTGTTACACCCGCTACCGCCAAAGTTGCCACAGGAAGCAGCCAAGTGAGGATGTGACAATGTGCTACCTCCTTGGGGCCATCCCACCCCTCAAGGGGCGGTGACAGATGGGTATAGAGCAATGGTGGAACGATCACAAATTAGCAGGGGAAAGTACAATAAACTCGAAGGAAAATTTAGATCCGGTGACTTTTCGCCTACCACGCATCTGACATGAAGTCATCCGGCATTGAACCCGGACCTCTGTGGCAAGAAGCCAATGCCTGACCGCCTCAACTATGGCATGGCCTCTTTGTCTCCGATACTGAATTTATTTATTGTCTCATAACCGGTAAGCAGTCAGCAACAGACAGACACAAAAGCCAGAACCAGAGCCCATGGGAAAGATGTGATATGCTTGCAAAACTCGAAGACATGACTGAAGTACAGTAGCCGCTTAAATTAAGCACCAAGCCATGAAAACGTAGGGGGAAATGTAGGTATAGAACCACACATTCTTAATCTTGGCATTAGATGGATGCGAGTGGTCAGCTTCACGTCCCTGCCGCTCTACTCTCGGGGGAACCCGCCGGTACCCATTCGACAGGCTGCTGGGCCAGTGCAGAAGAGAAAAATCTCTTGCACCTGCCGGGAATCGAACAACGATTCCTAGATCATCGAAGCCGTTGCTTAGTCGCTATAATAACTGATCTATCCCAGCCGTCTTGGAGATACACGACTGGGAGAATAATATTAAAACTGCTCATATACAAACATGGTGTCAGGGTGTGGGATGGCTTGATCTGGCTCAGGATAGGGCCGGGTGGCTGGCTCTTGTGAATCTTATAACACTC